CAGCCTGAGCTCAACTGCAGCTGATAGAGACCAGCCAATTGGTATTGAGGATTCCCTCTCTGTAACCCCCTCCCACAAAAATACACCGTCTGCATTGGAAATTTTCTTAGTTGTGAAAAGTAGTTTTAACCCTTCGCTTGAAAACCACCCCGTGCTTTTGGAGCTCCAGATAAGCTCCTGTTTTCGTTTTGCATTAAGAAAAGCTCTGACTGACCAAAATATCCCCACCTGGACTCTTTAAAGCTAGGTAACATTCAGTGAGAAGACTAAAATATCTGACTCGGCAAGCAACTGACTGGGAAGATGATGTTTGCAATCTTGTAGATACACCATATGACAAAACCAACCAGAAAAAAACATAAACACACACACATTAACAAAACAACCCCCCCCAAAAAAAAAACAAAAAAGAAAACAAACCTCAAAGAACCTACGCTGTAATCTGTAGTCCAGATATCACCATCATCATTTACCTCCCCCAGACTTCTTGTATTTCTGAACACAAAGCATGTCTGAACTACAATCAAACAAGAAAAAAAGAAAAACTCAAACAGTGGCATACAAAGTCACAATAACATACCTAGAGAAGAGAGATTTTTATTTTGGCCGGTCCTGAAATTTATTTAGTGGATATGGCTATATTATTTCAACAAAGACATCAAATGTTTTACATTTGAAGAAATAACTTCACTTTTAGACCCTTATAACTTTATTACTAGACCCTTACAGTAAATATGCCACCTTCTTCTTTGTTTCTTGGTGTTTATTTGCAGGTAAGGATTGTTGTAAAATAGGTCAAGCCCAAAAGCCTGGTTTTCTAATGTAAAATAAAATGTATGCTACATGAATTCCTGCAAAAATAAAACATTTTAAAAGGACTTCTATTATTTTTTTTAAAAAAAAAAGAAAAACTGGCCAAATTACCCAAATACAGAGATAAGTCCATCATGTGACCTTAGTGCTGTCCTTTCTGCATGGACAATGCAATCTTCAGAATATTTCAATATTGTAAAGTTTGTACATGCAAATTAGATAGCCTGTGTAGTAAAATCACACCTAGATTTCCCCAATGTAGTTGATGAGTGTAGTGCTATATATAACATAATACTCAGTTGACAGAGACAGGCAAATAAATGACAAGTACATGCATGGATTTAGAAGAGGCAGGCAGCAACTTCATTGATTTTAGTCAAATAATGAAATAGGGCTAACAGCGCTGGGAAACACAAAGCAGCTGTCTCATGGTACATAAGGCCTTTCTCTCAGTCAAATCATCTTCCCCTGGTCAACAAAGGGGAAAATAAGTATCACTACCTGCATTACAAAGACATAGTTCAGAAAGATTTGGCTTCTGGCTCATGGACCATTTGCAGCCCATTAGGAGAGTTAGTGTGATCTGTAGGCTCAGTTTCAGCAGGCCTCTTTTCCAAAAGTAACTTGTGGAAGAGGGTGGGGTGGGGTGTATTGAGCTGTTCTGATACTGGCCAAATGACAGTCTTGAGTTCACTGACTCTCACGAAATTGCTTCCTCAATGTGATGCCAGTTCTGAGCATGGTACCTCCAACAGAAAAATGCATGTGGTTCAAACTTTATCATTGGAAATGCCTGAAAAAGTCTTTATAAGTCTCCTCGTGTGTGCTTCTCAGAATAAGTCAGAGAGCATTCTGCCAAAAGCAGTAAGCATGCAGGATATGTGCTGCAAGACGTAGAAAGTATGTAGTGTATCTGAAGCATAGCAGCATCATAAAGTTCAGAAGAACAAGGGCCATTGCCAGATTGATCATACTGTGCATCTATACATGTGCAGACACAGCTGACTATATTGCAAAAAAGACCTCATATCGCTGTCCTGTTGCAGGAGATATGTAGGCTTCCCAACAAGCCAGGAAGTCATACAGCCATGGAGGTTAGGCTAAGCTATAACAAATTCAGATTTTCTATCTTTCTCTATGCTAGACACTATTTTACAATTGAAATCAAATTGTATGTAGTTGTGATACTTGCTGACTTTACATTAAAGTAAAACGAAATACCTAGGATGACATGAAGAGAGGGCATTTCTTCTCCCACAGTTAATAGCTTAGGAGCTATCATGTAGCTGAAGGACCATGACAAAATCAAAACCTTCTCTTCCCAGTAAGCACCAAGCCCATCAAGAAGAAAGACTAATATCAATGATAGGGAAATGGTCTTGTCCACAGCTACTCAGCCCTCTTAGTCCAGCTTCAGTCATGTCCTGTAGCTCTCTCTCATCCCTTACACATACAATATGTGCCTAACACTAATACATGAGCTATACATCAAAGTCCAGCTTCCTCATAAAAGTCAGTTCTATGTGTTGTATGTGAAAGTGCTGGTAGTTAACCCAGAAAAAATCCACATACCATAAGAGCTATTTATATATGTTACCAAAGCCACTAGGTTGTCGTCTTACGGTGTTCTTCCAGAAAGACAACTAATGGAGTTCTATCTTTGGTGTGGAGAAAGCCATGAATGTCATGACAGATTCAAATAGCTTCTAAGGACTTAAGAAATGAAACAATTTCTTTTGCTGTCCATCATGTGGACAAGCCATGAAGGTGTCCTCCAATCATTGTTCTTTACAAGTATAGTGAGAGGAGAAGAGCTTATGGTATTCTATCCTTTAAATCTACAATACCATCAGCTATTATAATTTTCATGGCAGTCAATCCTATTCATTGTTGACAAGGAAAACTTTGTTATTCCATTTCCTTTAATGATTACATAGAGGTGGCGTTAAAAATTCATTCAGTCTACTTATTTCCTTATAATAGAATATACCAATAATAAAGCTCATAGTAGCTGCAAATCTACTGCAACATTTAAAAGCATGCTTTAAATTACCTTTATTTTAGCTTTACAGTTTTATTTAAAGTTTGACAATTGAATGTTTAAAAGAAATACTAGAAAACAGACCAGTTTCTTTTACGTACAAGTCTTCACAAAGCCACAAAGTTAAATTGCTAATTTTAATCTCCAATTTTGCTGTCTGTCATAAAGAAGTATGTGTGTGTTTTAAAATTCCATTTGTTTTAAAAACTATTTAAACTACTAAAAAACTATTTAAAACACTGATGCATGAAGAGCTCATTTCTTAGCATCACTCTAAAGGGGAAATAGGGCTACTTATGTATGAGAGAATATTCATTAAAGTTGAAAATATTTGTAGGGTGGAAGAAAATACATCCAGAGGAACTGGAATTCCTCCTTTTTGAAAAGATCCTTGCATGCTAGTACAAGCAAACATGAATAAATCCTGTCCCTATATCCCCTGCAATTTGTTTTAATATTGGACCAGATAAGCCTCTTGCTTTCTCTTGCTAAACGCTCAGAGTCCTCCTATGATCCTTCAAAGATCTCTGTTAAGAAGTTCCAGGCTGGGCAAATACCCATTATGGAGTCTAAATGAGAGATTTCCCACTCCAAGCAAATTAAAGTCTGAGACTTTCAGCCTTGCAGCCTCATGGAAACACATTTATATGAATAACTTAATTTATTTGTGCAGCTACTTATTCACCTGACTTGTAGGTGGTAGAAATTAAGGTTTAGCCAGTTCTATGAAGAATTCAGTCATCTACAGTGTTGAACTGGGATTAAAAGCCCATGTGCTGCACAAAATACGTAAAAGGGATTTGAGATTGCACTGGTGAACCTTCTAAATGGATAAATATTTACAAATATATATATAAGATCAGGTAAGTAGTCTTTGCCTGAGAGTTTCCTTTTGTTTGGGCAACCTTATTATAGACAAGATTCAAAGAGTAAGCTTAATTTTATAGGTACTGTTACTGGCAACCTATCATGAATTGTATAATTTCTGTAACTTCTGCAGTTAGTTCTTTCCTGAACCTAAACCAATGCATTACATTTACAAAGTGGTAAACTACTTCTTAAGTGGTGCCCCACCTTGTTCATCAGTTATCCATGTAACCATTAGACTTCTGCTTTTACTGGAATTACTATTACAGATTGCTATAGTGACACCTAGAGAAACCAACCAGAGATCCAGCCTTATCCTGGGTAAAGCTGGATAGTATTTGAAATCTCATCCTAAGATTGCAGGCAGAGTCAGCGACAGGTGTCATTTCCAGATGATGCCTAATCTGTCCCTAGAAACCTCAGAGGACAGAGAATTCACAGTCTCTCAACTAGCCTCTTCCACATTTTAGCTAGGTTTACAAGTGAAAGATTTTCCAGGTGTTTAACATAAAACTGCCTGATTGAAATTTAAGTCCTCTGGGTTTTGCTCTACATATACTGTGGTTTAGCCTAATGTGGATTATTCTCTTTTCGCTATGATATTTCATGTCACACAGATATGAAATACAGATATATCATCTCTAACAATCCCTATTCCTTGCATCTCTCTTCACAGGACTTTTTGCTTCCTAGATTCTGATCATTCTTTTTGCTCTGCTCTCTTCTCTATTCAACAGATTTCCTGTTTCCTAAAATTAAACGTCTAATAGTGGATAAAATAGGGCTGCTGTGTTCTGTGCTGGTAAAGCACATCCTGAAGAGTATTAGAAAGGTAATACCTTCATATTTGAGCACTCTCTTTATGCAAGGTCAATGCCATTCTTCTCTCTGTCATAGTGTTATACTAATAATCAGTCCCTTCTCTGAAGAATTTGCATTTTAAACAAAAAAAATCTGAGAGAACTCTGAGATGCAATCAGTGCAGCAGCACACTATGAGCTGTAAAGTCCAGGCATGACTGACTGTTTAACAGTCATCAACAACACAGGAAATGAGACAGAAATCAGGATGCAATAGTGTTTGCATGAGGCATTTTGAACTTCTCATATTTCTTATGTCATACATCCTTCTTTATTTGACTTCTTATGAAATTACATTCTTCCTTAAAGCTTTCATTTTGTGAATGTCCATGTCACTACCTTTGTCTCATCCAAACTGCTTACTTTCCATAATGTCTGTATGTCCACAAATCATAGTGGGTTTATACATCTACCCCTTGGAAGATTCACCTTTAAGACCAAAAACCTGACCTATGCAATTCATTTGTAAACTATTTAATATCAGATATCTATTTCCCTGTATTTTTTCAACTCTGCAATTGATACATTTTCTTAGAATGTATTCTCTGGATTTGTTGATTTTTTTACTCTTATATCTGAGACAGTGACATAAGTAATGGGGGAAAAAAAGGAGAGCAGATTTCACCATCTGAATGCATTTCTTTGCTGGTGATTCCAGCACTGAGTCCCACTTTGCCTGGGCTACTGCTGAAAACATGAAACAAAGGAGCAGGATGATCTCCTCAAATCTTTCTGTTAAGGTTTATGTCCATTTAAGACCTGCCTATTATTTCAGTTAGGTTTGCTCTCTACTACCATTGTGAACACATGCAACACGTACTCATCTCATTTTCCAGTAAAACTGTTGTGTTTTGATGCATTCAACAGGCGCAATAAGTCAAATACAGTCATATAGCTAAAGCATACAGTTATGGTGTATGTCAAATTGATGAAAACTAAACCTGGCTGTGTATGAACTTAATTAGCATCACCAGCACCAAATGAATTATCAGCGTGAGAAGGACTGCAAAGGCTATTGCAGTTAGTAAGAAATACCAAGAAAGTTCTGTCTGTAGCACAGATGAGAACTATGTACATTCCACAGAATGGAAATCAGCCCTGACATACATACACAGTATTTCATAAAATAGTTAATAATTTTTTAATATTGATGCAAAGTTTGCTTGTAAATAATGTATTGTATTGACCTATA